AAATAATTCCATAATGTTGTAAATTGTTGCTGATGTTATGTTGGGGCTTTTAATTGGTCGGGATGATATTCTGCCAGCTCTGCCTTCAGACCAGAGATGGTCTCCCCAAGAAACTGTTGAATTTATCTGGACAATAAGATGCTGGATTCTATGCTTGGTATATGCTTGCAATGAAAGAATCTTGTCTGAATTTGAACTGTAATACTGCAACAAGGTAGAGGAATCCACCATGGGGGGAGGGTATGGGGAGCGGTTGGGGGAATTCCAGAGCCTATGAAACTGTGTCACATAATGCAATGTAATTAATAATCAAAAAAAAAGAGAGAAAAAAATTTATTCATTTATTTGAAATGCAGAGTTACTGAGAGAGCAAGAGAGACAGAGTGATCTTTCATCAACTAGCTCATGTCTGAGATGGCTGCAACAGCTGGAGCTGGGCCAGGCTGAAGCTGGGAGCCTGGGAAGCCGTCCAGGTCTTCCACGTGGGTGGCAAGGGCCCATGCACTTGGACCATCCTTTATGGCTTTCCTAGGTGTTGGAGCAGAGAGCTGGACAGCAGCGGAGCCCCTAGGACCACAGCATCTTCAGTTTAATTTAATCTTTCATTGTGGATCTTTTAGTGGGGCACAATTTTCATACTGCAAATCACAATGTGTTTGTGTGGGCAGACTCTTACGAGATCCTATGATGTACACCTCCTACGTGATACAGCCACTTAAGCCTCTCCCCTTGGGTGTGGTTGGACCTTCTGCTCTGATGGAATGTCTTTCCCATTGTTAGGTTACTATTCAGGACAAGGCACTTTGTTTGATAGTGAACTGATTAAAGCTGTCTTCCAGAATCAAGACTCTTATCTGAAAGCATCTACAGGGTTGAAAATTAGGAGGGACCACCTGGGAAGGCAACACAGCCATGAGAAGTGCCAGCACTTTCCAGCCTCATGAGAACTCCACATGGTCTAGCGCTGCTCAGATGCCCCCGACTGACCTCAGAATGGGCTATTCAGGACAAAGGCCTTCGTCACACACGGAGTGAGATGGGAAAGTTTCCAGAAGGTTTCTATTCCTGCTCTGGCAGAGTGCTCATTTGCGTCTCCTCTGTAATCACTTAAGCACAAGGAAAAGACCTGGAGACTTGGCATTATATCTCACAGGTCCAAGGTTGCTTAGAGGGGAGATCACAGGTGGGCACTGTGCAGGAGGGCTGTTGGTGTCAGGCGTGAGGAGCTCTTAGTCATTTAGGTGGACTCTGCTGAGCCACAGGCCTCTTTCTGACTCATATGTGATGATGGGAGGAACGCATTATATCTTGTAACAGATGGGCACAGCAGTTTAAGATAAGATGTCATTTTGCTCATTGCTTACTAAGACACTTGGATTAAGGAAAGCAAAACGTGACAGTTCTCTAAGATGAGGACATTCTGGCCTTACACAAGGCCAAGTGCTTCCCTCCACTGTCTCTGTACACCTCCACCCTCTAGCCCCCTCTCCAGGTATTGCTGTGTCTTGCGTGTGTTTCCATGAGCTCCTTTTATGCCACAGTGATGCTTTGCTCTGGGTTTGTCCCCTTTAATGTCCTAGGAGCTCCTTGTGGGCTAGGACATTGTGCTCCTCACCTTGGTCCAAATGATAATGTCTGGCACATGGTAGGTGCTCCATATGTGCTCACTACATGAATGTGCCATTGCAGTAGGCCTGAGAAGTTGGCCAACTGCACTGGTCAGAATAAATACACTTTATAGCAATAACAAAAAATATAAATGAAAAAAAGTAAATATCACTCTATGGAGATAAAATATAAAGATTAATACAGGTGTCACTTGTTCTGTGTTCATGATCAGATGACCACAGCCAACCTGCTTTAGGGCCTGAACTATGCTTCCCTGGTGGGAGGTTTGCTGAGGACCGTGCTGTGGATACAATGGTGATGAGCAACTGGCAAAAACTAGGGATTCTGGCTCTGTAATGCTGCCTCTCAATGAATGAACAGACAAATACATCTTTTACAAACCAGCTTATTCATAATGACACCGAGTATGGGACTTTTGGAGTGGGGAATTTAGACCTTATATGGGCAATACAGAGTGGGGTCCTCAGGCAGCTTGGTCTCCTGTACAGACAGTAGCAGCAGAGGCCCAAGGAATGCCTGGGGGCAAGGAGCTGCTCCAGCTCTGTCCAGATGGAGTTGGGCATTTGAGGAGGCCTACCTCATAGCAGCTGGGGGTACCCACAGAGTCTGAGCCCATTTTGGGGCCTGAAAGACAACCCAGCCCAAGATTCTGCCTGACATGGAGAAAAGGGTTTGCAGAATTATAAGGGGGTCAGGTTTGTACTCTCTCAGCTCAGATTGTGGCTCAGGGTGAGGGACATGGAACCCACTGACTCCTAGGATGCCTGGGATGTGACCTCTCCCTGGGGAGCAGCACAGTGGCTTCCCCCAAGGCCTGCCCAGGACAGTCAGAGGCCAGAGCTTCCTCACTGCTGCCTGGGACCAGGGGCCTTGGGTCTGCCTGGATCCCGCCTCAGGTTTCTCTGCCTGAACATGGACTGTTTTTGAAAGGTGTCTCCCAAGGCCAGATGAAGTCAGTAAAACCTGGAATATAAAACATGAATGGTAGATGTTGACAGGTCCTACAAGAGTTTCCTTGTGTGCCCAGAGCATGCCCATCTCTGGACTGTACAAATTCCATCACATGGGGTTGGCCCATACTTTTCCCATACTGGTGCTCACCCAAGCCTATGATAAAGCTTAATTTGTAAATTAAAGAAGTAGGACAGTAATGATCATAACCAATAATAAAATAGAGCGACAATCACCATTCACTACAATCAGTTATTTAAAACTTGTGAATTGCAATCCTTGTCCATGTCATTTAACTTCATCAAGGATTCACATGAATCAGGGGCCCATTGCTATTAGCTCTCATCAGTGCCACACTTCACAAGGGTTTGAGCTGCTGTTGCATTCAACACAAAGTAAGTGAAATATCCTTCTTTCTCAGCCGACACTATTTCTCTATGAATTGCAATTTTCATTTAAAATATCTTGTGTGAATCCCAGGGGGGCATCTTTGAAGCAACCAGCCCCCACCATGTGTGTGCATGGTTTGGATCATGGTTAATCCATGGGGGACTGCTCTATGTGGCTCAGTCCACGGCATCGAGGTGAGTCAGGTAAGCTGGCTCTGGGTGACAGTTGTTTCTGATGGCTGGGCTTGCATCTGGACAGAGATCCTGCTCTACAATGAAGCACATTGGGCCCAGCATGGTAGACTAGTGGTTAAAGTCCTTGCCTTGCACACACCGGGATCCAATATGGTCAGCGGTTCGTGTGCTGACGGCCTGCTTCCTAGCCAACTCTCTGCTTGTGGCCTGGGAAAGTAGTAGAGGATGGCCCAAAGTCTTGGGATCCTGTACCCACATTGGAGACCTGGAGGAGGTTCCTGTCTTTGGATTGGTCCAGCACCAGCAATTGAGGCCACTTGGGGAGTGAATTAGTGGATGAAGATCTTCCCATCTGTCTCCCCTCCTCTCTATATATCTGACTTTCCAATACAAACAAATAAATCTTAAAAAAAAAATAAAGCTCACTACTGGTAGGGCAACTCCTCTGAGTCACTGTGGTTGACCACACAGGCTGCCCCACACAGATCAGGCCACACTAACTACTGTCCCTTCCTTTAATCACATGCCACTATGTCTTCCCTCTTGGAACAGGTGGATAAGCAAGGTCCTCAAAGCAATGGCATGGAACAAGTGTGAGTGCCCAGACGCTCAGTTCTGGCCAGCATGCCTGACTCACCACTTTCTGGATGCTTCCCACCTGCTCAAAGAACAAGTGCTTTATGCTTCTGCATGCAGTTCTGCACCAAGGGTGGGCTGCATAGGCCCCACCAGTAAGCTCTCTGCTCCCTGCTAGCAAAAGCACCCAGATGGTGAAGCAGGATGTGCTCACAGGGTTTATGTCTCTGGCATCTTTCCCCTTTCCAAAGCCACTCACTCTCTGTTGGGATCAAGGATCTGTCCTTGCGAGTACTAGGTCCAGGCATGGTGTCCTTCCCTCCCATTCTTTAGCAGACAACCCTTTGCAGAATTCCCTCACCTCACTAATTTCGGCCATTTTCTTTCCTTCCAGAACCCTGGAAGGATCAGGGTCAGACCAATCACCAGAACCTTCTCTTTTGCCATGGAACAGAAGCTCCGCTGCCCAGCAGCTGGGAAGGTGCCCTGCATTCTCACTGGCTGAGAACTGGACTGCATATCTGCTGTCAGCCCACACTGCTGCAGGGGCCTTGCTGGCAGGTACCCAGTGGGCATGAGAAGTAGGCACAGAGTCACGTGCAGGCGTGTCTGAAGAGCCCCTGATCAGAGGACTTTGCAATACATTTAAACACCAATATTTCTGAGTAAAATAGGTACAATCACGTAGTGCTTAGCCACAAGGACACATTCTGAGAACTGCATCATTAGGCAAGTTTGTCATGGTGTCAACATAATGAGGTGCATTTACAGAAAGAAAGAAACTGTTAGGACAGGAGGTGATCTGACCTCAGGATTTCACCACTGTATATGCGACCCGCTGTTTCTTGAAACATTGGTACATGCACAAGCCTGCACTGCTTCTCTTGGGGAGGACCACATCTGTTTCAGATATGTATTCTGACCTCCTTATTTCTCCTTTAGGCAGAGGGGAAATAGTTTGCTCCTCAAGACTGGGGCAGGGTTTTGAATTTTCTCAGCCTGGAGACCAGAAGGGCTGGGAGGGCAGGGAAATGCCATGCGGTGTTAGGACTCCCAAGGCTGTGGCAGGTGGCCATTGGTTGTCTTCATTTTTGCAGACAGGAAAACAGAGGTTCCACAACTGACCCATGGCCATAGGAAGGGACGGAGATCTCCTGCTTTCCAGTACAGCCCAGGTCTGCCTGATCTTTTGCTAATAGCTCATGAAGGAGTTGGAAAGGGGAAATGACAGACAGGAGCCTGTGAGCAGCAGCAACTCACCTGCCTGCTCCAAAGCTACCATGGTTGCCTGCTCAATCAAGTCGCGTTCGATGAAGCTCCGGAAGTCCTCGCTGTAAACACTCAAGTCTGGCAGCTGGAACGTGTAGATCGGCATCTCCAGGGGAAACTGTTCACTGTTGCATTCGCTTGCTACGTGGGACCGGGCCAAGGAGACGATGGCTGAACTGGCGTGGGAAATTCCCCGGGAAAGCCGCTTTTCTGGATGGAGGAAAAGAAGACAGCCACAGGAACTGAGTGGACATGAGTGTGGCTCTGTGGGACATGCAATGAACATCACATGCACATTGCATGTACACATAACACAGAGCACACATACCACACACCACACATGGCTGTCATGCATATGCCGTGCGTGCATGCACATCACATGTACACTCATACACACAAGTGTAGGTGCATGTATACAATATATACAAGAGCACACACATGTGTATTCACTAGGCAAATACTTGTTAAATGTTAATTTACACACATATATGTAAGCACACTATGTAATATATACTTATGTACGTGCATATACACATACACATATAAACAAACACACTAGACAATGGACTACCCACATGGACACACACGTTTATGGCACATTACACACTACACATTTGTGCACACTACATGCATATCTGTACACCGAAGAAATGGTAGAGAATACATGTAAATATTCATATACATAGGTGTAAATACGTGCACACACATGTACACACATACCCTGCACGTGTAATATCCAACACTCATATTTTCCCTGAACAAGCCCTTTCGTTTTATAAGCTTTTGCAATCCTACAGGCATTTCTGTTCCTAGACTAATGTTATGACCATTGATGTGTGCTGCTTCGTCACTTAGGGTCACAAAACCACTTAGAAAGGGGTGAGGCACAACTTCAGTGTACAAGTGCACACTAGCACAGTCAAAGGGCACTGGGCTTGTTTTAGGTCTTTAAAAATATTTGATTATTTATTTGAACGTCAGAGTTAGAGAAAGGGAGAAGGAAAGGGGGCGGGAGAAGAGAAGAAGAAGGAGGGGGAAGATGGAAAATAGAAGCAGATCTTTCACTGATACACTCCCTGAATGGCTGCAACAGCCAGTTGGAGCTAGGCTGAAGCCAGGAGCCAGGAGCCAGGAGCCAGGAGCCAGGAGCCAGGAGCCAGGAACTCCATCCTGGTCATCCACATGGGTGTCAGGGACACAAGTACTTGAACCACCTTGTGCTGTTTTTCCTAGGTGTATTAACAGGACACTATGTTGGAAGCATAGTAGCCAGGACTTGAACCAGATCTTTGATATAGGTCACTAATGTAACAAATGGTGGCTTAACCTGCTGCATCACGATGGTGCCATGGCTCAGACTTTAAGATAGGTGGTTTGCAAAAGTTACTCTGATAAATGCATCACATGTGAATGGCCCCAGGACACAGAGATGAATCTGTCATACGTGCCTCTCTTTCACCTGGCTGTCACAGCATCCTCAAAATGATGCTCTTCTCTCATCTAACTCTTCTTGGTCCTTCCAATACGAAGGAGAGATTCAGAACAACATTCCTCAGAAGGATCAGGGACTATCTTGCTAGGGAGTTGATTTCATACTTTACCACAGTTAGAGTGGCTATTGCCCACCTTCACCCCAGAATGCTTGTGAGGATGCGGAGAAAAGAGTAACCTAATCCACTGTTGGCAGGAACTTAATCTAGCACAACTACTGTGGAAGACGGTGTAGAGATTCCTGAGATCTGAAAATAGACCTCCCATATGACCCAGCCATCCCACTCCTGGGAATTTACCCATATGAAGTTAAATCATCAGATGAGAGTTATCTGTACCCCCATGTTTATTGTATCTCAATTTACAACATCTTAGATATGGAATTAAGCCAGATGTTCATCAATTATTGACTGGATAAATACATTGTGGTGTATATAAACACTATAGACTACCACTAGCCCATAAAAAAGAATAAAACCCTGTTTTTTTCAACAAAATGGATGCAACTGGAAACCAATATGCTTAGTGAAATAAGCTGGTTTCAAAAAGATAAACAGCATATGTTTTCTGTGATATGTGGTAGTTAATATAGAATTCAAAATAATGTATATGAATGAAATGGATAGCTTGTGAATTGTGGTGTTCTTAATTTTTACTTGTTGAACATTATAGTTAGCCATGTATTAACATTGTGATTATAGAGTGGATTAAAATTATGTCTGCAAAAAATCTACATTTCTCAAAAAAAGAATTGAAAACAAAAACACAGATGTTTTGTTTCCTCAATGCTGTAAAAACACAAAAAAACAGCTGTCTTTAAAAGCTCCACATTTAATGGCTGATATTGAACAAAATACAAGAAATTATAAACACGTGACGTTAAGAACAACTTTCCCTTGGTGCAGCCATGTTGATAATATTACGATCTTCTTTTTGGCTCTGGAAAGCATGACTAGTGGTGTTGGGATGTGAGGATTGTCTGAACCTCATGGAAAATCCATGAGTCTGCTCTCTGGGTCATGCGGATGCTCACCTCATTGCAGACTAACCTAGTCACAGGTCAGGTACACACTCAGCTGGATGCTCCTTGGGTAGCCCAGCCTGCACCTTCCCCAACACCAGACATTCCCTACATTCCCACTTGCAAAAGCAGTGGTCAGATAGCATCAGTGGAACATTTTATGACAGCTGAAGAAGCAGAGACCTTGACTTTGTGCTGGGTTAGTTTTGAATCCAAGGTTATATCTCAGAAGCCTTTTGTATTTGCCACTAAAATGAGAGTTAAACACACACACACAACTCAATGATTATTCTTTTTGAATAAAAAAATATTTTATAGGAATGAACTATGCTTTAAGTTTGTGCCAGAGAAACATGGATTGAAAACCAATCAATGAGCCAAGTGCCCAACCAACCAACCAACCAACCACAGTGGGAGAACATGCAAAACTTGCCCTCTGCTGAGACCACCCACTCTAACCTTGAACTTTTGAGCCAGGAGGGATATTAACAGTGTTTGCTTAATTCTATGTTTTTGATACTCTGACATCTGCTGACTAGGGAGAGGCTGCCCTTCCCAGGTTTGGCTGGTTCCTGGGGCTATTTACCCTACCTCACCCGCCATTCCCACTGCAGCCACAGTGCAGGCTTGGAGTGGAGCATTCCCTGGGCTCTTGCTGCCTCCAGGTCTACCTGGGGCTTCCCCGTGTGGCTCTGTGCTGTGGCTCCTGCTGCCAGGGAACTCTGAACAAAAACTTCTACCTCCATGACAGCCATTGATGTGTCTGTGTGTTTTACCATGCTAGATTAGAACAATTCCTAAATTTTAAAATAGGTGCACAGAACTGCCCATGCTTCCTTCCCTTCTCTGTTTGCACACACAGCGAAGATGGCCCTCACTCACCACAGGCACTGGGAGTTCAAGGGAAAATGCAATAAGATTCTGAGGAGAGAAGCACCAATCAAGAAAGTTAGCAAAGTTCTTCTGCTAGGGCACCAGGAGGACCAGCCTCACAAGCGTGCCTGAGGTGGACGTTGCAGAACCTAAATCACTACCTAAGATGCCCACATCTAAGGGCTCCTGGCTTCAGTCCAGCCCAGCCCTGGTTGCTGTGAAAATCTGCAGAATGTACAAGTGAATGCAAGCTCTCTCTGTTAGTCCATTTCCAAAAAAAGCCTGGCAAATTTGTTCAAATATAAAGATACTAAAATGTGAAATAATGATTACAAAGAGTAATTTGTAGTTATAAATTCTGGATGTTGGCATCAACACATTTACCAAAGACTGGATTAGTGTGCTAGATCATAGATCAAACTAATCTATTAAGAAGACATTCAAACTAAGCTGAGCATGACAGAGGGGGAGGGTTGCAAAACATTCTAAGAAAATGTCTTGAATAGGGAATTTATATTTCATTAAAACAGAAATTTAAACATATCTTGTAAACTGTTTCAGGGGGATTCATCAGATAAAAACTCTTGGTGAAGATAGTGTTTGAGGAAGCATTCTTTTGGCAAAAGAGAAATGAATACATGTGAGCAAGTAAAGAATTCTCTAGGGAACCCACAGCAAGGACAATCACCTCAATAGGACTGCAGACATTCGGAGGTGGGAAGGAAGAATATAAGAGTACATTGAGACACATATATTTTACAGGTCAAAATATAGTTGCACATGTGTTCTCAAAACAATAAAAAAGGCAGGTTTTAATAGAAGAGAGGTTATTACAACATGAGTAAGAGTAGAATGCATAACTTCCAAACCAGTAGGAAAATGTAATTAACCAAAGAAGATAGGACTGAAGAAAAAAAAAAAAGATATCCTGAAAGAGCCTGGCAAATAAAATATCCAAGCACCTTAGCATGAATTAGTACCAGGTGGAATTCTAAGATAAGTCTATTTTGGTGCAATTATACATTCTTGAAGAATTCATTACAGAAAGAGAGAGTGTTCTCACCGACTGCTCCACTGCCCTGTGCCCTCAGTGGCTGAAACTGGGCTGGGTGTGAGGCAGGAGTGTAGTCAGCAGTCAGAGCTGGGAACTGGATTGAGCCACTCCAACGTGGGATGGCGGCATCTTCATCACCAGGCTACACACCCGCCGCAGGTGCAAGAAGTTTTTGAAACTCATTCATACGTAGAGTCATCAAAAAAGACCTCATGAAGAATATGTATTAGGATAAAACTATGCATAGATTTAAAAAATGACTGACCTCAAATAAACTTGTCTTCAGATTACATTTCCCATAAAGCTCTTTAATAATTAATTTTATGTATTTATTTGAGAGAATGAAAGACAGAGAGCAAGTGTATTCAGCTTCCGGTTCACGCAACAAATGCTCACAGCAGTCCAGGCTGGGCCAGTCATAAACGCAATCCAAGTCTCCCATTTGGGTGGCTGTGCCCAGTGAACTGAACCATCATTTATTGCTTCTCAGTGTCTGATTACCAGGAAGCTGGAATTGGGAGGTGGTGCTAGGACTCAAGCCCGGATACTTCCCTATGGGACATGGGCTGCTCAACTGGTATCTCAAAGGGCCACATGTTTCGTGAGCTTTAGGAAGTGCCCTTATACTTTATGACGAGCAAGGTCAAGTGTGACATGGGTGGACAGAATGGGAATCTTATCCGTGACACTGTTAGCCCAGTGGGAAAAGGATGTCTTGCTCAATCAAGATGCTCCCATAGCCCACTCTTGATCCAGAGGAAGGCAAAGTTA